CCTTGACCTTGGTGTTATCAATCACCATGCTCGAGCCAAGCGAGCTAACTGGCCAGCTCTTCTCTCCTTCTCAGCTGAGAAGCCCCCTCAGGTTCAGGGGAACGGGACTGTGGGAGAATGTACTTTGACATCACAACGCTGGGCTGGGCCCCAGACTTCGGGATTCTGGGATGTTTTTCATTTCACTCCTTTGGGAAAAAGCATTGAAGAATTCAATGCTTTTTTTGGTGGCTGGTTAGTATAAGGGGATCTGAACCCTTGACCTTGGTATTATAATATGATGCTCTAAACAACCGAGCCAACCAGCCAGCCCATTCAAAGCTATTTTTGAAAGTCACCTGGCATATGACGGTAACGTCTATGACCGCCCCCCACCCCCAAATACAAATGAATCTGGAAGCCAGGAGCTGGATTGTGGTGTGTGATAGAGCTGGGCCCTTCCTGCCACAGCTCCTGAGGCTCAGTGGAGATGGATCCTGTCTCAGCAAGCTGGGAAGCCAGGTGAGGAGCAGGCTGCTGCCCTGGGAGTCCCCGCTGATGAGCACCCAAACCACGTGAAAGGGCTGCTGTCAGGTGTCTTCACAGCCAGGATTCCCCACCACGTTTTGGCTGTTTTTTTTAAAAAACTTTTAATTGAAGTAAAACATACTGACAGAAAAATGTGCATATGTGTACTGCTCACTGAGTTTTGGCAACCTAAACATACCATTTGACCAGCACCTGGATCAGGAAACAACGTTGCCCAGACCCCAGAGCCCCCTCTTGTTTCCTTCCAGCCACTGTCCACACCCAGCACCCCCACTCTCCTGATGCCTGATCCCCCAGATCAGGGTTGTCTGTTTCGTGCTTTTATTTAAATAGAATCATGCTTTTTTGTGTTTGGCTTCTTTCCCTCAATATCCTATGAGAGATTCATCCGTAGTGTGTGTAGTGGCGGCGTGTCCGTTCTCAGTATGATACAGTACAGTACTTGTCAGCCTGGGCTGTTATGGGTGGTGCTGCTGTAAATATTCTAGCGTGTGTCTTTGGTGAACAGAAGCGTTTCTTCTGGATGGGTAACTGAGGATAGAGTTGGTGGGTCGTAGCATTCGCCTGCGTCCAGCTTTGGTAGATCCTGACCCACTTTTAAAAACATCCTGGTCAGGTATGGAAAACCGTTTATGGGCATGTCGGTGGGAAGGGCTGCGAGCCCCCTTCCCTCCCAGCTCCCTTGTGTGCATGAGGGGCTGACCATCGACACAGAGGGGACACTCGGATGAGAGAGCCTGGCCTGCCTCAACAGCTACCTAGTCCGATGCCGTTTCCCTGAGCCATGGACTTGAGAAGTTTCTATCACAACTTCCTCTTCCTCTTACCAATAGAACTTCTCATGTCTACATTTGTTGCAAGCAATTTGATTGGGCAATAAGGTTTTTCCTCCAATAAGGTGACTTTATAGCCAATGACAATTTTTTAAAGTTCACTTTAAATTGACTCTTAAGGAGGTGTGGATTTATGAATGAGTTGTTTCTTCCTGATCTGCAGATTATAGGAAGGTCCCACTCTCAGAGCAAGAGCGGTGTGGCATGTACCCTAGAGTCAAGGGAATAACTGCCTTTTTGGTTTTGTTTTTTCCTAAAAGATGTTCTCTAGAGAGTTCCCATGGGATGGGAGTTTGCTTGGTTTGAGGCGATGATTTCACCCTCTCTCTAGTAATCCAAGGGTTTAGGGCATGAAGTGGATGGTAAGATACAAATCTCCAGTGTAAAGTGCCAATAATTTTTGACAGTATGAAAAATTATTTTTGACTTTTTAACTGGGAGCTGTTCAAAATCCCCAAACTCCTTTGCTCTCCTAAGTTTTTAAGAAAAGGAGACTTTTTCCCCTTCATATCATCACATACCTCAGATTCTCTTGTTAATACTGGGACGTGTTGGCCAACAAGGGTCCAGAGGTTGAACGTGGGCAGCAGATGAGAAGAGATAGAAGAAGCTGGATATTTTTCCTTGCGGGTCTCTTGTCCTTAGTAAACACTTCACTGCACAGCGTCTCACGTGCATTCTTGCAACCTGGTGATGTGAACAAAGGATAAAAATAGCTACTCGGGATGCCTCCAAGTTAGCAAAAGGAGTTGGAATTCCAGATTTTATTTTATTTATTTTTTTATTTTATTTTATTTT